CCATTGGCTAGGCAGGAAGTATAGGCGGGACAAGGAGGAGAATAAAGCTGGGAAGTGGAAGGCTGAGTCAGAGAGACACTGCCAGCCGCCACGATGACAAACAGCATGTGAAGATGCCGGTAAGCCACGAGCCATGTGGCAAGGTATAGATTAATGGAAATGGCTTAATTTAAGCTGTAAGAACAGTTAGCAAGAAGCCTGCCACGGCCATACAGTTTGTAACCAATATAAGTCTCTGTGTTTACTTGGTCGGGTTTGAGTGGCTGTGGGACTGGCAGGTGAGAGAGATTTGTCCTGACTGTGGGCCAGGCAGGAAAACTCTAGCTACAACTCACAGCATTTCTTCAAATACCTCAGCTATAAAACCCTTAATATTATGCTAGAAAGTTGAATCAGAACTTTGAAGTTAGACTGTACATCTTTTATTTCACTACTTACTTAGTAACATCAACTGAGTTACCTAATCTTTCTGTGGCTCAGTTTTCCCTTCCTTGAATGTTGATTTTTTTTCATCTTAATGCATTGTTGCACTTAATATAACCCTGGATATATAACATACATTTGAAAACTTCTATATCCTCACCATCAAACTCATTGCTAGAAAATGAATATCAATCTGTTCATAACTGACATAGGCCTTTTCCTGGAAATTCCGCCTCTGCTAGTCCTACTTTATCATTTCCAATTATAAGAATTGTTTCTCTTTCAAGGATGAACAATATACCAGATGTTAGCTCCTTCAGAACTTGTTTATTAATTATTCTTTCCTCGAATAACCTCAACATTGCCTTGTTTTATAACTTTCTTGCCCATAAGTATGTCGTGCTAAAATACTGTCAGTACAGCAAGTTTAAAAGACAGTTTGTCCTTCCCCAGTATGTTGTGGGGGAACCCGCCCCCACTTTTCCCCCAGGGTACTCTTGAGAAGAAAGGGATAAGAGATATTAGGTAGGAAGTCAGAGGGGGAGAGAATCAGATAGAAAACAGTATGGCCTCAGAAGGACCAGGATCAATATCCACCAGCCCCTTCTGCATCTTTTAAAGGGTCTTTTATAGGAATGCCAAGGGGTAGAGCAAAAGACTTCCCCCTAGCACAGTCAAGTGCAGACCCTTCCAATTGTCTGGTAACCACACATGTGGTCAAGCAATCCTCTAATGCAGCCCTGGTGGGTAAAGGAAGCTCAGATCTCACTAGGAAACCTTTGTGGACCTCCACAGTATGTAAAATGAAAACAAAATATTAAATAAAAAGACATTTTGCCTCCTTCCTTCCCCTTCCTCTTTCTTTTGTGACACAGTGTTACCAGTGTATCACGCCTCTGTGGCTGGCTGTAAGCTTCTTATGTAGAACAGACTGGTCTTAAACTTGTGGCAATCCTCCTGCCTCTACTCCTGAGTGACAAAATTCTGGGCATGTGCCACCACAACCTACAAAGTTCCCTATAAAATTGATCAGTTTTATTATAGAATACAGAAACTTAGGCTCTTCGAACTTAGAACCAAACATGTTGAAAACCCATGTCTGCAAACAACTTATAAGGAAGTATTTGTAGCAACTAAATTCACAGTTGTCAGAAAGTAAAAGCAACTGAAATGCCCTTCTGTAAGAGGCACATTGGTCCTTATGCTCACAGAAAAGTGCTAGAGAAACCAGGAATGTTAAACACACAAGGTTGTCTCTTCAAAGGGAGACATGTATAACCTGTTTTATACCCAGAAGGCTGGGAATGGATGTGATTAATGGCCTGGTGACCTCTATGTGGACAGGCTGCACCTGCTCCCCCAAACTCTTATCTTGATCTTGTCTGTCAATCTATACTGATATCTTTCCCAGTACCCTTATCATGAACTTGTTGATCTTCATCCCACTTTCTCAGTTAATCTATAGAACCCATCTTTACGGAGGATGTCACTTGTACTTTACAAGAGTTTCGATGTAGTCGATGTAGTCGTGTCTTCTTATGCACATGGGATTGAGTTAATTATCTCAGGGAAACTTTTTACACATTGTGCTGTATTTAAATATGCCTACAATACAGTACTTGAGGTCAAACTCTCAACGTTTGAACGAAGTGAAGCTACAGAGCTGTGTTAAACCAAACTGCCTTCTTATTTCTCATGGATCAATGCTCTGCTGGTTTTGGTGATTGCAGAGACCCTTGAGTCCTTCAGTGGACACAATGGAATCATGTTCAATAATACAAGGAAATGAGCTATCAAGATACTAAAAAAACGGGAGAAAATTTAAACACACACACACACACACACACACACACACACACACACACACACACAAATGTGAAACAACCTGTCTGGGAAAGTCGCATATTGTGTGATATTCTGGGGACAGCAAAAACTCTTCAGGCAGTAAAAAGATCAATGGTTGCCAGGGGTGGGAAGAGGGGAGGAAAGAGAAATGAATAGACTGAGCATAGGAGAATGTGAGCAAATAAAACTGTAATACGTGCTACTGTAGTAATGGATGTGTGGCATTATTGGGAGATATATATATATATATAAAAACTGGGCTATACAGTCAGCACTACTATAAACTATGTATTTAGTTAATAATAATGTACTAATATTGGTTAATAAATAATAAAGATTATACCACAATAATGTACAATGTTAATAATAGGAAGAACTGTGGGTAGGGGACAAAGGAGTATAAGGGAACTTGGCAGTTTCTGTTCATTCTTGTTTATTAGCTTGAAACTTCTCTAAGATATAAAGCCTATTAATATTGTTAAATCCAGAAGGTTTATATAAATCTGTTTATAGCAGCACTCAAAGTAGAGTTTCATTGAATTTCTAGAAGAAAGGGTATATGGACAGCAGAGTGTGGGAGTCTTAGGGTTACTTTTGAATTCTGCTAATGGACACTATTTTAGTCTATGTGTTGTCTCATTTTGGCAGCACCCTTTCTGACCATATACTAAAGTTGATGTCTCCTGTAGTTTCAAGTCAAGCCCCTCTTTCATTTCCTATGTATTAACCCAGATCTCATCTTCTGTCACGGTTTCAGTGACTTGCTATATAAAACTAACCACAAAATTGGTCTTTCTACCGTGTCACCTCTTCGGAAGTCCGTTTGTACTTGTCCAGCTCTCTCCTGGTGGCCATCATTGGGATTTCCAATGAAGAATTAAGAATAACTCATGAATGCTCCTACACACACACTTTTTAAATGAAGTCACCATGTATCCAGTTGTCCAAAACTTCAAGATTTGACTGGTACTTTCTGATGTGAGCATAGACAAGAGATTATTAACATCCTGCCATCCCTGGAGACCTTGGCACAGTTTTCTGCTTTTGTGGAGTATATACCTAGCAGACAGCGGGTGAAAGCCAGACTCATCTCGTTAAAGCCTTAAGTCTCTGCCAGTGCTGTTTTTCTTTCCTCCTGCCCACTTGCCCATCGAGTCCTATTCCGTCTGTCTTGTAACTTTAGTATCATGACATTGACTTGGGCTTTCAAAATACTTTTGTCGCTCCCCTCCTAACTCTGTTCACATCAGCCACACACAAAGGACATTTTTACTTCACTGTCAGGAAGTTTCTTTTCAACAGCAAATACCTGTCTGTATTTTCTTCCTTGTCCTTCTGTTCATAACTGAAGCTGTGCTTATGTTTGCTCTAAAACTCTTCTCTGTATGTGGCTGTCTGTGACTGTCTTCTCTTCAACACTGGGAGCCTTTTGGGAACAGGAGTCAACATAAAAACAGTTCCTGGTATATAAATACACTTAATAAATATTCATTGAGTACATTTTATCTAGTCTCTATCTTAGCCTGTTTTAAGATCTATATTTTCCTGGGTGTGCATTTCTATAATCCCAGCACTTAGAAGGACGAGGCAGGGGGGTAGCTGAGAATTGGAGGGCTTCTTGGGCTCCCTAGCAAGCACTATCTAACGTAAAATATTTATTTTGAGGTCCTTATTGAAATATATCTTCAAGAAAGAAAATGAAAAGTTTATTTCTGGGTCTTGAAGATCACTGTGTATCATAGCGTTTTCTCCATATGGGCTCTGCATGTTGTCAGAGGATATCAAGCCCTGTGTCTTAAGATAAAGGCCTAAATTCTGACATGTCATTTCATGTGGCATAATCGGATCTCTGTTCAAATGGGGGTATGACTTTTTTTTTGGTTTGTTTTCATTTTGATTTGTTTTAATCATTAGCAGGTAGGTAAATCTACAACGCTGGTTTTATAGTCAGCTAGTGTCACCCCACCTCACCTCACCCTCCCCACTTGTCTCAGTGTTAGATAATACTTGTTAAAGGAACACAGCTATAAATTATGGAGGCATTTGATACACGGAAGAAAAAAATGGCAGCTATCACCGGCGTCAAGAAGACCACCAAATTGCATTTATCGGCCTGTTAATAAACCATGCTTCTCCACGTGATTCAAACGTTTGCCTCTTAACTTGCAGCTAGATGAAGCCTCCTACCCTGGTGAGTTTGTTCCAACCCTGCTTTGGTAAATCAAGCCAGGCTGACTTATTCGCGCTACCAGTGTGAAACCAATTCCCACATAGGAAAACTTCTCAGTTTCCTCTCACCTGCCAAGCCTGCCTCCTGCCCTGATTTCATTTTCTAGTGATTCCCCCCTTGCGTGCTTCCTGCTAAACCCCCCGAGATGGACTGCTGACCTCTTTGCCAAGAGGTGCGAATGATGCCACCGAGTTACTGACTGCTCTGCGGCTCTCCAAAGCTCCTCCTCCTCCCCAGAGGTCGACAGTCCTTGGGACGCAGAGGTTGGGAAGCAGGACGAGGGAGACACTCGTGGGGTGCACTCCGAGAGGAGCCAGCAGAAGAACCCTGGGTGCCGAAGAGGCCGCGCGGGGGACCGGCGTGCCCGTGCCATGCGGAGCGTGGACTCCGGCGGCCACCCCGCAGCAGCTGCAGCCCCGGCCCCCGGCTCTGCTCCGCGGCTGGGCCGCCCGGCGGCGGCGCGGGCCGCTGTCCACAGTGGGAGGTGCTGAAAGCAGGGCGCGGGGGCGGCGGGCCGGCCGGCTGCTCCGGGCGCCCCCCTCCGCGGCGCGCCGCTCCTCCGGCCCTCCCCTCCTCCATCAGCCATGTTCCGCGCGCGGGGAGGGCTGGGGGAAGAAGGGGCGAGAGCCGGGGGCCGGCGGCGGCGAGGAGAGCCGCCTCTGCCTCGGGGAAGGAGGGGATGAGAGCTGGGGGGAGCAGCGCGACGAGGAGGAGGCGGCGGCGGCGGCGGCGGCCGGCGAGGAGCCCGCGCTGGGTTCTGCGGTAGGACTCCCCGGAGCCACCATCATGGTGAAGAGGAAGAGCTCCGAGGGCCAGGAGCAGGACGGCGGCCGCGGCATCCCGCTGCCCATCCAGACCTTCCTGTGGCGGCAAACCAGGTGAGGGGCGCCGGGCTGGGGGCGCTCGCGGGGGGTCGCCGGGTCGTCGCCACCGCAACCACCACCACCACCACCGTGCCACCGCCACCGCCACCGAGGCCGCGCCGCAGCCTGCAGCTGGCAACGTCCCTGGGGGTGGAAAGCGAGCCCTCTGCACCCACTTAAAAAGCACGCATTAAAAAAAGAAAAAGAAAAGATAAAAAAAAAATCTCACTGAAGTTTGACAACAAGCAGATTGGCAGTTCTCGAATAAATAGCTACGTTATCGAGGGGGGTGAGAGGGCAGAGAGAGCCTGGGCAGAGGGGGCGGGGAGCTAGGAAGGTAATTGGGACTGGTTCCGCTCTCCTCCAGTTCCCCCTCCGTCTCTTGCTGTAATCCCTGCCTGGTGACCTGTTGTTTTCTAGTGTGTTTGACAGAGCTGCTGTTGCCCACTTGTTAACCATATTTGCTCGGATTCCGCCAGCGTCGTCTTCATGATGAAGCCCCTGAGCAGGATGATTTTTTTTGACAGATTTATCTCACCTGGCCGGACCTGACACCCGTGCCATACACAGTAAAGGGCTCTCTTGTTATTTTTTTGAGAATGAGTACATATGAAAGAAAATAGATGCTGGGAATTATGACCCATATCTGGGCTCATTTTTTTCAGTTTTTAAGATAACTGCACGCGTGGGGAATGCACCACTTCTGACCATTGACGGTTCAGAGTCCGACTCAAAAATGAGAGCGGTATGGAAAATTGTAAAGAGCCACGTCTTTTTTCATGTAATTAACGTGTAAAAGCAAATGTCGTCAGCTGTCCAACAGCTGCTCATTAAGAAGCTATAAGGAAACATGAAATTTGAGTTTCGTAGCGCCATGCCCTGTTTATTGAAAATATAATATAAAAATGCTTTAAAAAATAGTTTTGCTCATGTTTATAACAAAAACCTTTACTAATTTTTCAGTGCATTTTTGAGGCCTAAGCTGGGGAAGCAATATGAAGCCTCTTGTGTGGTATGTGATTCTCACCATTTAATGATTATTTCCATATTCTGTGTGATAATTTAAGCCAAGGAAAGACGGAATCATATTAAAATCCCCAAGTTAATTCAATTGACAAATATTAGTGAGCATTTACCACGTACCAGGCACAGTTCTACTGTTGAGGTAGGGTGAAAACATAAACAAAACATAGTGTCTACATCCTAGCATGAGGCAGAAAACCCACAGATGAATATATGCATAAAATACATAATAAGATAGATGGTGATAAGCACCATGGAGAAAAGTAACAATGCGTATTAGAAAAACTATGGTAGGGGTTTTATTTTATAGGCAGTGGGTGGATACGGCTTAATTACTAATGTGATGCTTGGGCAGACACAAGGGCTGAAGGAAGTAATCCCATCTTGAGAGGAGAGCTGAGTGAACTACAAAGGATCTAGCATCGAGTGGAAGTAAGCTAGAGGAATGAGAAGGATTGAGGGAGCAGCAGAAGAGAAGACAGAGAGAGTAGAATTAGGCCTAGGGGAGCCTTTTAGGGAATATTAAAAAGTCAAATCATTAATCAACAAAACAGACTATTTATGGGCTGGTTATTCATACAAGGAATGGCTGTGGAGTACATAAATAACTTAAGCATCAATTTTATACTTTTACGTCTTGCACACCTTCTACGGGTCTGAAAGCGAACGGCCTAAAGTCATCATGAAAATAGTGCTATTAATATTTGTAAAGAATGAAGTGGACTTGTCCCGAGGTTCTAAAGGAATCCCATAGACTTATAAGACACGAAATCATGATGCGAAAGTGAAATGGATCTTAAGAGGTCGACAAATGGATTTAGACCGTGTGTAGTATAAAGGGACAGTAGGAAGCTGTACATCCCCATGCTGCCAAATGTATGTGTAAATGGCCGTATGGATGATCTTCCATGTGGAAGGACTTCTGGTGTGTAAGATCCACAAATTATGGTGCAAGTCAAACACACATGTGCACACACATGCACACACGTGTACACACACATACGCATACACAAACACAGGCACAGGCACATGGAGGCTTGGCTTTATTGGATTATCACAAAGATACTTTCAAACTTGCCTTCCTTGTCAATATGAGTGGAATTTCTTGTATCTGAATCATTATAACAACTTGACACTTTAAATCTTCAAGCCCTTCCTTTAGCTTAAAATAACCACCATTATTCTCTGTTTTTGGTAAAGATATGTCTGATGTTTCCAAAGTGCTCACAAAATATCAAATTGTTAGGTTTCATGCGTAGATAAGTGGGCAAGTGGGGAATGATGTAAATCAATGTCAATGTAAGACACATCTTCAGAGTTTCATGTAACCAGAAGTTTCTCTGGTCCCACCAAGCCCCCGCAGTCCCCGTAGCCCACTTATAAAATATCACTCAGAAGCTTATATTAACTATAACTGCTTGGCCATTAGCTCAGGCTTATTACTGACTAGCTCTTACACTTAAATTAATTGGTAACTCTTACTTTTGTTACAACCCTCTATATGGCAATTGCACAAATATATTGACCATTTAGGGCACTTAAGCATGACACATGTTCAAAGAAGTTAAATCTGCATTAACTTTGTTCCAATAGATGGTTGGTACCTTATACAGGCATTCTCTACCCTTAACAAAGAAACCAAAACAAAGGAAAACTTGTGTAGGTCAAACTTGTTTATTGTAATTTTGTTTACTCTTTGAACACCTATTTGGCAATGCTAGATAACTTGATAAAACACAAGGCAAAAGATGGCTCATTTGACTGTTGTCAAATGGGCATGAAACCTCTTCTCCCTTTCTGATTTAGTTAAGGAATCCCTTTGTTGTATTCTTGCTTTGAAGATTAAATAAGTCAGTGACTCCAAATCAGATTTCTTGAAACAACCTTGTATTTCGTTTAACACCTGTTGAGCACACTGACATAAATTCTGTTCTTTAAGACACTTTCATGAAACACATCTCATTTTGCACTAGAGCTGTGACAGCCACTGTGGATACTCAGCAACATTTTTATAAAATTTTATAGATAAAATATAATATATAATCTTAACAGCAAATGGGTTGCTATGTGAAGAAGCTTATTTTAACAGAAATAAAAATGCAGAACACATGCCAGGCAGTGGTGGCGCATTCCTTTAATCCTAGCACTTGGGAGGCAGGCGAATCTCTGTGAGTTCGAGGCCAGCCTGGTCTACATACAGAGTAAGTTCCAGGACAGCCAGGGATACACAGAGAAAACCTGTCTTGAAAACCAAAACAGCAGCAGCAGCAGCAACAACAAAACCAAAATAAAACAGAAACAAAAACATAAGCAAAATATCAAAAGCCCAGATCATTTCAGACCATATCCATATACTTTGGATCCAAAGCCTACAAAGTGGCAGTTAACAATGACCTATGGCCGAATGACTGCAGGTCAGTGTTCCCTGGGCCAGAATAGGAGTGACCCGCCCCCTAAAAAGACAAGGCTCTGTGATTATCTTGTAGGATGTGTAGTGTGTTAGCGTTAATTTTGAATCGTCTCCAATTCTGTATTTTGTGTGCTCCCTGCGTCTGAACTCTGCAGTCCTTTGAACGAGTGCTGGTAGAAAACAAGCTGCATGGCCTCTCCCCGGCCCTCTCCGAAGCCATCCAGAGCATTTCCAGATGGGAGCTGGTGCAGGCCGCCCTCCCTCATGTTCTCCACTGCACTGCCACCCTGCTGTCAAACAGGAACAAGCTAGGTGGGTGCTGCCGCATTGTTGACTTATACTGTCCTTTATGTGCAACGTATACAAGAACATGGGCTAAACAGTTGCTACCATCCCAGGCACTTGGCATGCGTTATCTTGTGTAATTATCGTAGAATTTCCTTCCTATCAGTACCACCATCGTTGGCCATTTTGCAAAGGGGACCAGGCTTCCTTGTTTTTAACTTTGTGTCTGTGAATGGACTCCCCACGTAAATGTTAAAATAACATCAGGTCGGTAAAGATTCTGACCCAGTCTGCAATTTATCATGTATCCTTCCAATGTCTAATGCAACTGTGTTCATGAACTTGGCATATTCTCCTATGGCAGTGGTTCTCAACCTTCCTAATGCAACCCTTTGCTAGAGTTTCTCATGTTATGGTGACCCACAACCATACAGTTATTTACATTGATACTTCATAACTGTAATTTTGATACTGTTATTGATTGTAATGCAAATATTTTTGGAGATGGGTTTGCCAAGATGGTTGGGTCTTGACCCACAGGTTGAGAATCACTATCCTAAAGCGTTTCCTCAGCTTCATTGTATTATTTTACAAATTGGTTTTCTCTTCTAGTAATGTGTCCTAGCCATTTCTCCTATGTTAGAGTACCCACCTTTCATCTATTTCTCCCCCTTTGTTTGTGTCTCTGCTTTGATGTTACAGGGACCTTTCCAGGTCAGATCTAAAATAGAGTAGTTTTTTATCTTCACTGTCTGTTCTTGTCTTCATGATAAGACAGGCCTGTTTGGGAAACCATTTAGGAATCTGCCTGATGAAATACAGTAGCATGCTGTTCTGCAGAAATCCTAGCCTGTAAGAAAGAGCCCCAAGTGGCAATGAGCCGTATAAATACGGGTTGCTTGAAGTTTGGAGGTTGCTAGTGTCTCCTGGGAAATGGAGTTAAAGAGAAAAGATGAGACATTCCTCCCGACCAAAGGGTGTTATCCGTGATTCCGGTCAGAGAATTTACCTTCACTGGGCTGTGTGGTTGTCCCATGCAGGCCACCAGGATAAGCTGGGTGTTGCCGAGACAAAGCTTCTTCATACCCTGCACTGGATGCTTCTAGAGGCCCCACAGGACTGCAACAGCGATCAGTTTGGGGGTACGGACCGAGGCTCCAGCTGGGGTGGTGGCAGCAGTGCTTTCATCCACCAAATCGAGAACCAGGGTTCTCCAGGGCAGCCCTGCCGAAGCAGCTCCAATGATGAGGAGGAGAACAACAGAAGGAAGAGCTTCCAGAACTCCATGGCTACGGTGGAGCTCTTTGTGTTTCTATTTGCTCCTCTTGTACACAGGATAAAGGTAAGGAGGAAGCGAATGTTAGGTGTGGGGTGGGATGGAAGTGAGGGAGAGTGGCCTTCAAAGAATGCTTCCATATTTGTTTGACCATGTCTTTGCATGACCTTGCAAAGGCATGGGAACTTTTAGTGCTCTTGCTGTTTGCTCTGCATACCTCTTCATCCTCTCTTCCTTACATGGCCCTTTCAAATTCCATTCCAATGTCATCAATTCCATGAAGTTTTTCTTTGGACCTTCTCCATGTAGATACAGTTGTCAGCTTCTCTCAATTTCCATAGCCCTTTGCAGCTACCTGTATTATAAATACAAGATCTGGAGCAGAAGCTTCAATTTGTATGTGTCAAGATCTTTTGGCAGTAATATAAAGCAATTGAATTTTTATTTTAAAATATCTTAAATGCATAAAATAGGAAACACAGGGTTGTATATTATAGTGAGTATGGTAACTTTCTAGATGTACGAGCCTAGTTATATCAATTTGTCTCATATCTCATTTGCATAAAATCATGGAAGCCTCCAACACTGTTAAACATATGTGAGGACATGCATATTCTATTCCATTTCAGTACCAAAATAAGAGATAACAAACTATTCATATGCTTAGCTGTTCTTCAGTATTATAACCCTAATGAATAGCTATGCCAGTCAGCATTGAATATACGAAGGTGTATGGGACCATTAACCATTAACAATTACTATGAAGGAGAGGACTAGTATCCACTTCAGTTTTCTTTTATAAAAAAGCATTATTCATTAAACACACTAAATGTTTTAATGCTGTTCCATCAAATTGCTTTAAAAGCTTTAACTTTCAACTACTAAGAGTCTTTTATAAGAGTCACTGAAAGGAAAGCATTTATTTGAGTCAATCCATTTGCTCACGGGACCTGTAGGTTCTGGCCCCTGCTCACCTCTTCAGCCTCATTTCTTTTCATGTCCAGGCTCATCCTCAAACTCCATAAACCCATTCTTATGTTCAGGTCTTTGAACTATTTTTCTTCTCTGCTTGAAACATTTACTCCTGCCCTCTACCTTCACAGTCTCATGTGGCCATGTATTTCTTGTCAATTTAGGCACTGTCTAATGTCAACACATAGGAAAGTTCATTCACTACTTTTCACCACTGGTATTCACCCTGTGTTTTTCCTTAGTAACATTCACTACCAGGAATTATCATCGGTGTCTGAGAACATCTTTAATGCCCATTACTGTCACTTGAACGGATTCTAAATGAAGGGATGCTGCTTTCCTATGTCACAACTAAGTTTTATCAAGTATAAGTTGGACATAAGAACAAATTTGAGAGCATTCTGAGGATTAAACCAGTTATAGTATTCAACCTAAAACATAGGAAGACATTAAAAAGGCATTTTGTTTGAGCATCAGTATTTTATTGCTACTAATATTCTGTACTATGGGAGGAGAAGTACTAAGTTCCCTTTCAGTAGATATGATAGAGTTGGAATGCTCCCTGGAAGCCCTCCAAATTTTAGAAGTAGCTTGGCAATGGAGGACTTACTAAGGAGTCAGTATGTAAGGACACTGTTAGTGACCAAAACATTGCAAATAATTGTTATTAGCTATATTGCTAGAATAATTATTATATTATCATTTTCATTGCTGCTTTGTTCTAGACACTATAAAAATATAATTATTGAATCAATAAATACGCCTTCAAAGCTTCTCTGCTTGAGAGTAATGTAGGGTTTTTTCTAAGTCACTGAGGATATAAGATCTATAGATTAGTATTTCTTGGCTTTGACACTATCAGCATTTGGGACCCAATAATCCTTTGTTGGATACTACCCCATGAATTGTAAAATATTTAATGCTATCTTGATCATCTACCTGCTAGGTGTTGGTCACATTCTCTCCTCCCTAAGTTGTGACAGCCACAGATAACTCCAGAGGTCACCAAATGTCCCCAGTTCTATGGGTGGTAGAGAACTGGACCTGACTGAGAACAGTACCCTAGACTTTCCATTTGCTTATTAATCATAGGACTGTGTTAAGGTCTATTTTCCTCCCCCTGGCCTTTCTGCCCCTTACCAGTACTATTCCTACCCTTTGCTCTTCAAACCCCAACCCAAACCAAGACCAAAAGTTGTCTCTTCATTCGCTGTCTGAGAGGTCTGCATGTTGCTGGAGAATACACACAGCCATCCCAGGGAGGCTCCTACAAAGCCATAGTCTCCTGACTTCATGGGCTGCCCACTTAGCATCAAGTCCCCTCTCAACACTTACACAGACACATGCTTCTTCACCTAGGGTGACAGGGATGTCAAAGTTTAGATAGGCACAAGGCTTTCATGCTCTCCCCTCCCCTTCAGCCTCCAGCCTCAGTGCTTGCTTCTATTCCATATCTGACAGCTTTCACTTGCATTACTTGAAATTTTTCCATCCACCCACAGGGGTGTTTGTGTCTTTGCTTCCATTTTCCCAGATGTGAAGCTGACGTTCAAAGCTGGATATCCAAGCAGTCAAGAGCCGAACAAAAATTCCAGCCCAATGTCATCAGATTTCCCAAGTCTTCCCAAACTTTTGTGCTGGAGCAGTTTTCCAATCAGGTCATAAATAACTAACGTTGGACTTAATCTTGTTTTGCAGTCTCCATTGCGTTAAACCTCAGCCATGTTTGAAATTGACACTGTGACTTCCTGTTGTAAGGTTCTCTTGCCCGGATGGCACCAGCAGCTGCTGTTTTTCTTGCATCCCTGGTTACAGCTGGCACAACTTTCCTTGAGGACCCCCTCCCAGGGGCATGAGGCATCTGTGGTCTATAAGCTGAGGTCTCCTAATTCTGCCTCTTTAAGCCAGATTCCTTCGTGCTTTAAGGTTAATTTCAATTTAGCGATCCAAGTAGAGAAACCATGGGCATTTTTGTTTTCTCTGGACTGACCCTATGGTCTGTTTTTCACATCATTTACTTTTTGAATTACTTTTGCTTTCTCCCTCACTCCTGACAGATCCCCGGAATCACTGAGTACTACTGACTCTACCTTGCAAATATTTCTCAAATTTAATCACATCTTCTTCATGCCTATTGATAGCCTTAACCTGACCTAAGCCTTTAGCATCTGTGACTTGAGCCTCTTACTTTCTGACTGGATTTGGTTTTCTGGTTTCTCTCTCATAAAATCCATTGTCAACACCAAAGTGGTTGATATAAAGTGTAGATCTGACTATGTTGAACATACATAAAATGATTTGTTGGTTTGTGTTCATGCTGAGTGTCAAAGTCCTGGTCTGGAATCCTGGACCCTCTGTGATGTGAATTCCTCTCTATGAGCTGTAGATGCTTAGCCATTTATTTCAAGGCCTTTCTTTTGAAGGTCCTGCTGCCTGGAATATTAGGATTAGGATTACATCATCTACCCCTTTGCCTAGAAAACATCTGTTAGAATTTTACTCCAAATTTATATTTGCTCATCTCTATCTCAATAATATTGTAGGGACATGTTTATTGTTGTAATTAACTTGTTCATTGTAATCTTTTTCTATGTCTTTCTCATACTAGTTTGTGAATGGTTAGAAGGTAGAAATTATCGTTGCATCTGTGGAAGCTAACACAGTATCTGTGTTTGGAAGATAATATTTATTGAATGAATTAATTCATAAATTAGAAGTCATCTAAGTTACTCATTTTAAGGACATATTCATTACCTATTTTTCTATGTTTTTAATTTATAGTTCACTCCAATATTTCACCTAAGTGACTCATCTGAATATTCTGTCAAATATATCATTAATTTTATACTCAATGTAATCAGTGAAAACAAAATAACATTTGTTAAAGTACAGAGTCTCATATTGGCACTTATTCTGTGAAGGAATATTTCTTGGGTGCCTACTATATATGAGGCACTATTTAAAGTCTTAGAGAAACAGCAGGAGATAAAGCAAAGTGCAAGGCGGCAAATGGATTTGAACAAAATCCATGTGCGAAGTATACAATTTCGTTTAAATGCTAGTTGCTCAGTGAAATCTGCTCAGTGACCAGTAAATACAATTTCTCAGCACTAACATAGGAATGAGACCTGATAGAAGCACCCAAAAGACAGAGAGACAGATTCTGCCCATGTTTTCATCTGCTTTCTTCTCAGGAATCCTTAAGTCTTGTTTCTCAACTATTTAAATGATTTTTTTTTTTTTTTTTTTGGTTTTTCGAGACAGGGTTTCTCTGTGTAGCTTTGCGCCTTTCCTGGGACTCACGTGGTAGCCCAGGCTGGCCTCGAACTCACAGAGATCCGCCTGGCTCTGCCTCCCGAGTGCTGGGATTAAAGGCGTGCGCCACCACCGCCCGGCTTAAATGATTTTTAAAAAAAGTGTTCTCCAGGGACCAAGTTGTACATCACATACATAGAGCACCACTGAAGGAAAATAATTAGGGTGGCAGGGCCTACGCAATCTGACAACTTAAGAATACTTTGAAAATAACACGCTAACATAAGAGGAAGCCATAGGTACAGCAGGTGTTAAAAAATGAAGTATGAACAAGGCATTCCACCACAGAGAATAGATTTGCAAAAGCCAGCTCATGCATCAGGGATGAGTCCTGGTCCCACTGCTAGGGGCCCCACAAAAGACCAAGCTACACAACTGTCTCCCAGAAGCAGAGGGCCTAGGTCAGTCCCATATAGGTTCTCTAGCTGTCATCCTTGTTCAGCCTTGATGGAAGGGAGAGGAACAATTTGATGCCATGCTTTGTGGATTCCCAAGGGAGACCTTACCCCATTGGAATAGAGACGGAAGAAGAATGAATGAGGGGGTAGCAGGGAAGTAGGGGAAGGGAACTGGAGGAGAGGAGGGAGGGGAAACTGTGGTTGGTATGTAAAATAAAACAAAGAAAAAAATGAAGAGTGACCGAATTGAGATGCTATTGCCTGGAGAAAGTAGAAATATGTCCGCTTAACCAATGAGGACACATTGATGGTCAGGAGGGAGGCCTCAGAGAAAGCCTAGCTTGTCTTTAGAAATGTCCCCTTTTATTCAGTTGGAGACATAACAAATACAAACAAATGATTGCAGTAACTATCAGTGAGTGTCAAGTATCACACTGATACACTGGATGTTAAAGACCAGAATTTTAGTAAAAGACTTGAGTATTTCCTGATGTCATTTTCACTGAAATTTTTAAGTTGCTTCCTCCCCACTCCGCTGTCCCCTCATCCTCTCCCCTTCTTCCTCCTCCTCATTATCATTCTTATTACTGTTATTATTTGGGGGTTTTCAGACTCATAATGTAGACTAAACTGGTCTTGATTTCCTAGGCAACCAATCATGACCTTGAACTTCTGATTCTCCTGCCTCCACCTCTTGACCTGGTAGGATTGCAGGTGTGTGCCATCATGCTTAGCTTCTGCTACAATTTTGTTTATGTTGAGATTATATATGAGAAACACGGAAATGAAACAGGTTGAATTTGTAACTAAGAAATCATTAAAACCAGGTCAACTGAGGTTTGGCTCCCTTTATCTAATGGTGATTCTCTGAATGCCAGGTACTGTGTCTGCCATCCATTTTAAGGCCTCTAGACCTCTTTAGCTGCCTTCTTAATTTTTTACGGTTTAATGTCAAGTGGTATCTCAGCCTTATCAGGCCATGCTTTCAAAATCCCATCACTGACTCCATCTCATTCTGTTCATCTTTATCAAATCCCAGGCTCATTCCTTCCTCATAAACTACTACCAGTCAATTAGCAAATTCTGTAACTGTATCTCCAAAATGCATCCAGAATTGTAATTTTGCTCTCTGCTAGCATTCCAATCTAATCACTTTTCATATAAGTGATAACATTAGCCTGACAGATTGTCGCTTATTTCAAATTTCCCTTTCTCAAACTATTCTCAATGACTTGATTTAAGTTATCAAGCATATATTCTCTGCTACTCAAAATCTGGTGCTTCCTTTCTTCCCAGTCCTGCTGAAGTCTGTGTTCTATCAGGTAACTTTCTCTCACACTCAACAACTTTCCTGATCTTCGTGTATTTTTTCCACTCTCTTTACTCTAGATATACAGTTCATTGTTTGATTCTTGACCCACTAGGCAAACTTAGGAACTATGACTGCTGGTGCCTCTCATGGAATAACTTTCTTCGTGACACCTATGTGGAAACACCGTCCTGTCACTTAGGTCTTTACTCAGAAGTCACCTCTCCTGCGCGCCCTGGACTGCCTGTTTTAAGAAGCTAGCCTGCTATATCACTCTACCTACTTTACTCCTGTGCGCTATGAGCAAGGGCTTCTGTACTCTTTATTCCCTGATATAGACAGGAACCTAGAATAGCATCAGGTTCATAGCACATAATGTACAAATATTTGAATTAAATGTGGAATGAATTTCAAGAAGTACTTTGTAAACTATTGTCATACTTCTACGGGGAACCCAAGAGGCTTTTCCTTTGTGGGCCCCTGTGTGGTTCTCTTACTAATGGATCCAGGATTCTGCTGTGTAAGAGTTTTTTTGTTTTCTTTTTTTTGTCTTTTTTTTTTTTCCTGAGGAGATGTAACACACTATTCTACTCATCACAGAAGGGAGCCAGGGACAGACCAAAGTCCAACTTGGTGAACCAATGAGCTTTCATTGGGGTTCCTGGCAGGAGTGTGGACGAGGGGTTACTTATAGGCACAGGGGTGCCTCTAAGACAGCTTCATCACCAATATGAGTGATAACTCAGAAAGGCTGCACATCTGACTCTCTCTGCTCAATTTTCAAAAAATGGACACGTCTGAGAATCCGCTCAGCTTCTCTGAATTAGAGTCCCCTCCCCCAGCTGCCATTTACTGCTTCTACCAAGGTGGAGAGGAGCCTTTGGAGAATCTTGCACTTTTCACTCTCCCAAACATGCTATGTCTTTTTTTTTTTTTTTTTGGTTTTTCGAGACAGGGTTTCTCTGTGTAGCTTTGCGCCTTTCCTGGGACTCACTTGGTAGCCCAGGCTGGCCTCGAACTCACAGAGATCCGCCTGCCTCTGCCTCCCAAGTGCTGGGATTAAAAGCATGCACCACCACCGTCCGGCCTTTTTTTTATTTATGGTTTTTCGAGACAGGGTTTCTCTGTGTAGCTTTGTGCATTTCCTGGAACTCACTCTGTAGCCCAGGCTGGCCTCGAACTCCCAGAGATCTGCCTGCCTCTGCCTCCCAAGTGCTGGGATTAAAAGCATGCACCACCACCGCCCGGCATGCTATGTCTTTTTTACCTCCAGAATCTCATGAGCGTCTCCTCTCTCCTAGTTGGCACGTTTCACTTCAAAGGAATCTGTGTATAACAGACCTCAACCCAGTCTTTAGCTTTATGGAAGAGCCAGTGTGTTGGTTAGGTTTAAATGTCAACTTTCTACAATCTAAAGGCACTTAAGGGAAAAAAAAGACTCAACTGGGGAACTGTCTGGATCAAGTTGACTTTGGGCATGTCTGTGGGAGAATTGTCAATGATGGAAGAAGACCCAGCCTATGGTGATCAGTATCATTTTCCAGTGAGGGCATCCTGAACTATGTAAAACAGGAGGAAGCAAGCAAGCAAGGGTGTGTTTATCCTCTTTGCTCTTGACTGTGGAAGTGATGTGACTAGCTACTTCTAGTTCCTTCCTTGACTTTCTGTCAGTAATGGACAAGTAACCTTTTCCTCTCCTGGGTTGCTTTTGGTTGGGTTATTTGTTACATAACACAACAGAAATGAAACACGGATACCCCAAGTCTAACAATGTGAATTTATCTGGGGATTTTAAAAGGGATTTGTTTATTTTATGTGCATGCACCTGAGTGTATGTATGTGCACCATATAGGTGTAGTGCCCTTGGAAACCAAGACAGGGTGTCCCATCTCCCGGAACCATGTTTTCAGGCTGGTTGTGAGCTGCCTGGGAAGGGTGCTGAAAACTAGACTCTGGTCCTCTAAAAGAGCAGCAAGTGCTTTCCCAGTCATCTCTCCAGCCCTTCATCTGGGAATTTTGCCAGCGCCCTTTAGTTGAAGGTTTCTTATGATCCAGTGAACTTACTCTCCATTTGCTAAATTGCTTTTCTTCTTCCAGCTTTAGGAATCTCCTAGCTCAGTGCTAGGCTATTGCTACAGAAGAGAGTCCTTGGGGGAACCTTCGAAAAATCTCACAGGGCTTCTAATTTAATGGGTCTGAGTATGAGAGCAAGATGAGACTCGGGCCTCCCCTGTTCTTTAAAATTTCCCAAAGTGGCTGCAATAACATAAGCTAGACTTTCAAAATCGTGTCCCAAGTGAATTCCTGAGTCTCAGATGTGTTTACTAATCTGTGTTCATTTTCCCTGCTTCCGTGTTCACTTTTTGGATGAGCTGAAATGTTTAAGATGTGATCTTATGACAAGTTTGAACGCTATAATTTGAGGTTGTATTTTCAAATACTTAAGCCTGTCAATACGATGCAATAATGACATGTAGAATGTGTTTCTGGAAGGAGCTTTGAATTACAAATAAACTGTACGGGCATGGGTTGTAAAAAAAACAGCCAAATTTAACACATATTTATTGAGTATCTTTGTGCACACAATTCCCCATCTGTGTGAAGTGCTGTGGTGATACTGGGAGATGCAGGAAAGGGGAATTCTTCAATTAGCCCTTGCTGTGAAGAATTAGGATTGTCAAGAGAACATTATGATATCAGTCACCATAAAGAATCAAAACATATTTACCCAATTCCATGAAACAAAGAAAGGGAGAAGCATTGGAGACTGGGAGGCAAAGTATCCAGGCTCTGAGGATATTGCCTCCTGAGGGAAAAATAAGGACAATTACATAATCAAGAGGAATGGCACTTTAACCAAGCATGAAGAGATCTGCCAAGACTATGAAAATAAACAGATCTCTCTCACTGTGAACAAAACAATGATTTATGCATCCCATGCTTTTTTCCAAAGCTACATTTAATTAATTTCTCATTTTCCATAAAGCAGGTCACTGTGATTTCCATCCTGACTGTAGTATTAACAGGATCATTGGTTTGCCTAGAAACACTCATCTGAGTGTTTGCCAGGGCAAGTCCCTCTGAAAATGGTCTGTGGAACTTGACGAATTCCCTGATACAAACCAATTACTGAACGTACATCTTCTCTGTCCCTAGGAATCTGACCTCACCTTCCGACTGGCCAGTGGGCTGGTTATATGGCAGCCTATGTGGGAGCACAGACAACCAGAAGTCTCTGGCTTTACTGCCCTGGTGAAACCCATCAGGAGCATCATTACAGGTTCGTGACTCCAGGGCTCAGGCAGGTTCCCTCACAGTTGGTATTGTGGTAGGATGGTTTTCCTTTAAGATGATAATAAAAAGTAAATCCCTCTGGAAAGCTGTCTGGGTGACCTAGGTATGAGGCATATTCACATGGGACACATATGTTTTGGAGTAATCATCTAACTATACTGTGCTTCTGTTTCCACATCTGGGACATGGGAAATAAAGTATTAATATTGCTTGTAGAATTGGTGTGAGGAATAAATTACATATATATATATATATATATATATATACATATGTATATATATATAGTCAGAAGAATACCTGTCATATAGTAAAAGATCATTATTATTATAGTTATTATTGAATCATGGTTATGATAGATGAAGTAGAGGGTCCTTGGAGATCTCTTCATAGCATTTTATTGCTATCAAAGTATTTTACTTAAGGAACTGGAATTGTGTGGTGAGCTAGTCCTATGGTTGAATTGATTTGTGGAAGTAGCCCAGCATGATAAATTTATAAGTGTACAATAGGCTCATATTTCACTGTAAGTACATCTCTTGCTGTATGTGCATGCCATGTATACAGCTCAACTATACAACTTAACTCCAGAATGTGTATTTCTATTCATGTAAAATAGAGGTGCTACAGCACCTTATCTGGCTTCTTGATAAATGTAAGTGAGAAAGTGCATAAAGTACTTGTTTGGGAGTAAATGCTTAATAAATTCTGTCCTTCTATTCTCAGTCCTACTTTTAGTGTCAATAATAAATAAATTAGATAGAAAATCTATAGAAACATGTATGCTATAATCGCATGTATACACATCTGTGGAGATGGCTTCCTTAGTTTGTACATTTTAGAGGCAGACAGTGGAGGATTGTATATGTAAAGGGGTTCTATAAAGTGGAAGAAAACTACAAGCAAATTCTTCCATTCTTTTCCTCTATAATCAAACACAACTTTCCAAGTGTTTGATATATTAAAGAGTCATTGCAGCCGTCGAGTTCCTTATTAGTCATGTGTTTGAAAAGATTACTATTGTGACAAATAGAGTCATTCAAAGGAAATTGATTTTTTCATATAGTAAAAAGTACTTGAGTCTCACTATATATATGTACATATATATATAATTAACTTTTGAAAGATAGATTCAAGAGTGATATCGCAGTTTTAAATATCAAGGAACTAAATAAGTAAAGGTGTTATAGCTGTAAATCTGCTTCAGATTCTATGTATAGAATAAGGTTAATTAATCTGGATTCAAACAACTGGAGACAGAATATAGGATGAGTGCAAGATTATTTTTAAAAAGCTAAAAGTAATAGAAATAAGGCTGAGAGTAAAATATGCATAGGTATAAAAAAAGGTTAGTTAAGTGTGTGTCATACCTTCATGATATGTTAAGGAAATATAATTTTTTTAAGTTTTGCTGTAGTTCTCCTATGCACATGGGATCACCCCTTCAAAGTTAGATGTCTGACCCCCGAAGCTTACACTGGAGCCTTGTATGTGCTTAGCAAGTTCTCTACCACTGATTTATAACTCCAGCCCCATCTCTCTCATTTTGATTCATACATAGAAGGTCATTTAACACATTTTTAAAAACGTCTAAGAAACTTTGACCCTCCAGGACAGCCCCATGGACTGTTTACCTCCCTCTCCTTTGGTTTCTGGAAAACACAGAGGGCTGGTTTCTTTCTCCTGTACCTGATACCTGGGACTTGAAATGGTGCCCAGTATCTGAAGGGAATTTGGATGTGACCTGGATGGCATGGCTAGGGAGAGCAATTCCACAAGGAGACCTTCACAGTAACTTGGATTTTCACTACCCAGCCAAGGCAGACACTGCTACCACAGCCACCCAGCTACCTAATCCTAAAGTACAGATGTAGTCTAATTGAATCTTACTACAGGACCAGTCTAACCTGGTAACCGAAATATGAATGTGAAGTCACAAAGACTAGCTTGGAATCTTCCCACAAATGTCAAGTTAAACTTCCCATTGCCTGAGTTTTTCATCAATAAATTGGTATGATTATACAGCAATAGAATAAGGTGAAGAAAAAGATTCAATTAGTTTACAGGACTTGGTATGCAATAAAGGTGGGATAAACAGCCTATACCTGTTTTATTTTTATTATTACCAACTTCTAAACTTCATCCCCGTAAGACTGAATAAAGACATAAACATATACATTGAAAACTGAGAGATGCTTGTTTTTATTGACTGTTTGGTTTCAGTTACATGACACATGATTCAGTGTTTTCTTTCAAGGTGATGATGTTACATGAAACTGTTCTTATTTGGAAATGACGTGAACCTATGAGATAAAAATGAACTTGTGATCTTATATAATTGGTGATGGGTCTTTATATCATCTTTGTAGCCAAGAGAAGCTCTCCTGTCAACAGTCAAAAGAGTCAGACCTGTGAGTCACCAAATCAAGACACAAAACAGCAAGGCGAGGTCAGTTTGTGATCACATAATAAGAGGGGAAGGAGGGACTCTCTGAGCAACACGTCGTAAGGGATCAGACATGAGTTTGAGATTCATACTCTCTACTCAAAACCCTCTCTTCCATCCTGGACATGCAGCTTTGCTCAGGCTGAGGTCTTCTGTCAATCATGTATAAAAATTAATATTAAGCATCTTCCAATAGTATAGAGGTGTTGGGACAAAACAGTATGAGTATTGTATCTCAACCATTATGAAGTAGGTTTTATTTTATCTCGATGGTTAACATGGAACAATAAGTGTTTGTTGTCATTCATCTCACTTTCAAAAAGTGTTGTTTGATCTCTCTTCACTTTCCATTCAACCGGTGCAAAGTAAAACCTGATGTCTTCCATTAAAATTTGGTTCTCTTTCTAATTGACATATTGTTCCCAGGAAGAGCATTATCTTCCAAGCTAAACTCTAAGCTGGAGGCTCCAGTGTGTTGATAGGTCTACCATACTCTGAGCAATTGCTTACACTGGGATTTATAAACCTTATTTTTTTCCACATTTAATGTCTTTGTAATGGAGTGTGCTTGATGGTCATTGGTTGCTCACAGTCTCAATGCCTGGTGGGTATCTTGACAAGGCAATCATTCTTGTGCAACCGGAGATTGGTCATGGGCAGTATCAACATTTGCAGCATCAGGGTCAGTGACTGAGAAGAATGTCAGAGGAAGAATGGACAGCCTTAAGAAACAATGCTTTTATGAACTAATAGCCCCACAAAGGGGAAATTATTCCTTGGAAAACTTCAAATATCAACTCCAAGTTGACTATTCCAAAATGAAGAAATCACTTCTCTCCTTCCACACATACACAAAATGAATACTTAACCCAGATTATACCTAGATAAACCTAAAATAACTTACAAACTAATATATGATTTAAGCTTTTCGTTGATAAGAAGCACAAGTCTTAAGTGTTGTATTTTTCTTAGTGGTATATAACATATGGAGTGTCTGTAAGTGATGGCACATTAAATATAAGATTGTGTGGAGCTTGGTTTACTCTGCTTGGATCTTCTGTTATGATTTCTTGCAGTGCCTGGTGCTTCTCACTGTGTTGCTCATGCGTGCTGGTTATTTCCTTCAACCATTTATATAATGAAAATATAATATCGTGATTGCAGACTTGACCTTCCTAATTGGACTTTGTATCTATAAAGCCTTTCTGGCTTAAACAAATATGCAACTTAATAATGTCTGACTAGCCTTCCTAATGAACCCTTTATTCATTAACTAGCTTCCTTGAAGCTACTGCATGCAAGGTGTTACCCTTTTGTCATGGCTCCTCCTCCTTAGAAGCCTGAAGCCCAGATTCCCCTTTGATGATCAGTACTCCCATCACCTGACACCATGCTTCTTGATTGACTCTCTCTGTGGTCACACCTTCAGCTAACTGTCATACCACCAGCATACAGCTCATGCTCACTTAGCCTGAGTCTCTGCTCAGCCTACTTCTTCTAACACAAATGCTCTTTTCCCTCCTATTACCAGTCTAAATTGTATCCTTTTGATAAACAACCAGGATGCATGTTTATAATCCCAGCTGCTCAGAACACTCAGGCAGGAGGATTGCAGCTGACCGGCTATGGTAGATATCCAAGGGTTTGTGTGCTTAAGAAGTTAATCTATGATACCTACAGAAAACACTTCCCATGACCTGAGCAGAAGTGCATTTGTCAGCTAAATGGAATTAAAATAAGTTACTCAATAAAATGAATTGTTGAGTGCACGCTTGCAGATAAAGGTCCCCGAAGCCAATAGAAAAGTGTGTTATACTCCTTTTCTCATGAACGGTGGGAAAACTTTCATCCTCAGGTTCTGACTTGAGTCTGATGACTTCCTGCTATGCTGGCACGAGCTGAGCCTCACACTCCTGTTCTGTCCTCCTTGGTGCTAGCATGTCTATGCTGAGTTGCAGGGTTCGTAACTCTCCTGCAGATGTTGGACATAGAGGGGATCAATGAAGAGCAAGTTAAACAAAACCTATAAAATACTTAAGCCTCACGCGTGGAATGACACCGGTGCTGTCTGTTTCCATTGCCTTTTAGACAAAGGCAAATCTCTAGGTCTATGATCTCCTTTGCTCTGCAAAGAAACGCTTTAATATATATGATTCTGTATGGGCGAAGGAGGTAATTCTGGAGGATATTACTGAAGCAGAGAATGGAACTAATCTACTGTCTCACCTCCAAAAGGGACTTCAGGGGGTCGGCGAAGCACTGCAGCCTGATTCCACGTCACCCAAGGCCACCATCTCAGGCTGCCACCAGGGAAACTCCTTTGACGGAAGCCTATCCTCCCAAACTTCCCAGGAAAGAGGCCCATCGCATTCAAGGTACTTGACTGGAAGACTAGCTGAAACATGTCCCAACTACTGAGAGTTAGACTGCATCCTAGCTGCTTTTACAGTCTTCATTTTTTAAAACATGAATGTGTGTTCTGTGTGTGTGTGTGTGCCGTTTTAGCCAAGATATAAATTGCTTTTTACAACCCCAGCAATGAATGTCCCTCATTTTAACAAATCAGGCTGGAAGTAGGAAGACATGTCAGATTTAGTGAGATGCCTGAGTTAAATATCCAAGTGCAGAAATCCCAGTGATATTCTAAGAAGATTACATTGCAGTTACGATTAAGGATCTGCTTTAGTGGGTAAGGACACTTTGCATCAGTAAATCCCTGTATTGAAATGGGTGTTGCTAAAACACTTTGAAATTATCAAGTCTACTCTTTAAACATTCCACCTCCTTCCTGTTATTTTGTGAACATAACAAAGGGATTTGCTTGCAATTAACCTTGTACAAGGACCAACCTAGTCTACCTCTTCCTACTCCCTGAAGGGATTGTGGATACCTAGATTCACAAAGTATGCCCCTTCACCGAGTGAGCCATGGACTATAGGACGATCTCGATATTTCTACTTTCCAGTGAAATTATTGTTTGGGTGATAGTACTTTAAAATGAAGTTTTAAATATAACTTTATGAAGATATAATTTCTGTGTCATAAAATCAACCTGTTAAAGTTAATATTTTAATCATTCCTTGGTATATTTACAAAGTTGTATAATTGTCACCAAAATCCAGTTAGGTCCTTTGTAAACATGGAATGGGTTAGTTTATGGTATCATGCATCTGCCTTCTTTAATTTAATAATGTTTTTTAGTTTTTTTTAAATCTACATCATTGCACACATCAGTGTTTCATTCCTTTTTATTGCTGAATATTATTAGCTTGGACAAATCAATCAGCTTTCTTTACTCATCACTGGGTGGATAGTTCGTTGCCATGTTTTATATATTATGAATAACACTACTGTGACCCTTCACTTAAATCTTTTATGGACATAGGTCCTCATTCCACTGGTGGATATCCATGAGTAGAATTGCTGATTTGTGTAGCAAATTTATGCCTAATATAAAAAGAACTAAATTTTTTTCCAAATATGCTGGCACTATTTTATACTCCCCCGGCAATATATGGGCCTTTGTATCCTCAGGAACATTTTTATTGTTTTTCTCTTTTTATTATAGTCATCCTAGTGGGTGTGAAATGGGACCTGACTGTGGCTTTCATTTACTTTTCCCTGATGACTAAGGATGCTAAGTATGCTTTCATATGCTTATGAGCTATTCAGAGGTACTCTTTTATCAAAGGGCTATTCAAACTTTTCCCACATTTAATGGGGGTGTCTAAGTGTTCACTTTTAAGAATCTTCAGCATATTCTGCATACAAATCTCTTATTAGAGAAAAATGATTCACAGGTATCTCCTTCTAATATCTGACTCACCTTTTCATTTGATGGTTTTAAATAATTTATCTCTACCTAGCCCTAAACCTGGTTATTTAAGTATATTGTTTTTGAAATTTTTCATAGGCTTATTGAAAAGATAAAGCCCTGTAGAAAAAATTAGAATCTTTGTATGTGTAGGCTTAGTACATATGCATTTATTTATTGGTTTCTATTTTAGTAGGTGGAACAACCATGGTCCCAGATATCTTACTTAACAAATTTGAAGGTGCAGCTCAGTTAAGGTCTACGTTCATACTCCAGCTCTTAGGAACAGCAAGCCAAAATACCAATCCAAATTCATTCCAATCCATTTACAGTCTACCTTCTCAATGCCTTTCACATCCTTTCTCACAGTCATTTAATTCAAATCTTTACCATTTTCCTATTTAGATTTCTGCAGCTGCTTCTAGTGGTTATCTCTACATTCAGCATACATACAGTATCTTTTTATTCGCTACGTGTGTCCTGTTACTATACTATTTCCAACTGCCCATGGGCTAAAGAGACAAATGATATGTAACCACAAGTGTGGTAAAAAACAGGCAGAAGATACCTGCCTTGTCCATGGCTACTGAAAGGGAAGAAATGGGATGAGCTGACTCATAGCAGTTCTAATGCTGAGCTCCAAGTGGTGGAGGCCCTTTGACTAGAATGCAGCCCACTCTTAGCCACGGCAATTGACTTCTCCTTCTAAGCTATTGGTTCTATCTTCTAAGCCAACTTTCTTTTTCCCAGAAAGGTAGCCTATGTTCACAGCTTATTTCCTGCAATTACCACTTGGGGGAGGGGGCTAGAGAGCCTATTTTCCATTTTTAATGTCTCTGGAAGTATTTTTGTTGATATAATGTTTATTTTTATAGGTTCATTGTGAATTTTATTAGGATCCAGTGGATAGACAAAATCCACATTTCCATATCCCATCTCTATCTTAGACTTCCATGCTCATAATTTTCTTATAAGTCATTATATATGCACACAAAAAAGATAATTATATAATGATAATGTTCATAAGGATAATAGACTATGAAACTGTATAATAGATAATGTAAAATTATGTAGTGGATACCATAAAATTACATAACAGATAATAGTATAAAGATAATAATAGACTATTATATACACAAATATGCAAATATATGTAAATAAATATATATTTATAAATACTAATATATACCTATATTATAAATATATACATACGTATTTGCATCATACTGTCAAGGTTTGTAGAGGGTCTTTGTCAGATTCAAGAGTATTCTGAAATACAACTTTAGATTATTTTGAAGTCTTAACAAGTAACTCTATAGTTTCACCCTTGACTTGATTTTTAGGCTGTGTTTTTTTAACAATTCTCTGGATTTTATGTTTGCAGTCATCCATTTCTTAATTTTAGCATCATTTATTCTCTGTAAAAGCTGGGAAATTTCAATATTATTATATCTCATATAATAATTCTTTAATAATTCATTTTAAATTCTTATCTCTTCTCTTCTGGTTTACTATAACCAGCAAACAGAAACCAGGAGGTGTCTTTTAGACCTTATCTGGACATCTCTTTCATTCTGTCACCTAGTTTGTTGGGCACATTTGTGTAACGTCCACACCAGTGCACACTTAGTCCTGCCTCTACATAGCAAACATTTTCAGCCCCCAACCCCAGCAGCATCCTTTGGCTCCACCAGCAGCTTCCTCAAAGTTCAGAAGTTGTATTTACAAATTTTAGAAAATTTACACTAAAAAAAATAAAATCACATTCCTCATTTCTTTTTATAGGTTCTACCTGTTCCAGGGTTCTACAGCCATTCCCCGAGCTTAAGGTTTTTATTTTGTTACCAAAATATCTTTTGAATTAGCCTCAGTTCCTCAGCATCAGGGTCTCTCTTTAAGGCTACACATGGCGTGGAAACCGGCTTTACTCAAAACAAATTATACAAGAGGGAGAACACCAATATAGAACTTCAGTGTTTTTATAGTACACTCTGAAACTCACAGATTGTCGCTTCTATTATATACTGTGCGTTACAACATCCAACCTATGGTAGAGTATGGGATTATCCTAAACTAGGATGTAAGGACCAGGAGACAGGGAGCACTGGGAACTCCCTTTAGAGGCCAGCTACAACAAACAATATTGATGATAGTGTCGCTATCATTTCACATACTGGAAATTTTTATTATTACTTTTTCAGTTGTTGAATATGCCTCTTCTACCAGTTCTGAATTAAATTATAAAATGTTTAATTTGATTTAATATAAGAAGTAATCTCTTACATCGCTTACTTCAAATGCTTAGCTTATACCAGATAGTTTTAAAAAGTCATAAAAAAAAAACCAGTATGAATATAAAATCTCGAGGCTGTAAAATATCTATATTTTATTTCTTGCAGAGTTTTCTTGACCATTGCAAATATTTAGAGATTATAAATATAAGCAGAAAATGAAGTTCTTTTCTCTGAAAAATCAAACTGTACTGATTCTAATCTGATTATGTACAAAAAACAGCTAACTAAAATGTCCCATATTCTTATTTATGAAAGGATGTTGTTTTGTTTTCTGACATTACTGAACTGGAGCCATCCGCCTATCATCTATCTGCCTACCTATGTGTAATCTGCCACCTATCTGCATTTCTTGATGTAAATACATAAACACACTCTCCCATAGCACAATACACCCACATTATGTGAATTAGACATGAATCAGTGGCACTTTGAAAAAAAAATGAATTGTCTTCTCTCTGCCTAGCTACAGTGGCTGGTTACCATGGAAATTATGCACAAGTCAGACTGCTTAGCAAATGCTAGTGTTAATGTATCTCCATTGGAGGAGTTCTTGTGTTTATCGGGCTTGAAGAAAGAGCCTTAATAATGAAGCCATGCAAATATCCTAGCAACGAAAGCTGTCTACCTAGATCAAGCAAATCCAGATCACTGTGGCCTGTGCCTTGACCTTAAATGAACTCAACATCACTCTTCCTTGCACACTGCTTTCAGCAGACAAGTAGCTAGTTTTAAAATTGATGTAAGATTACATCTTTAATTACCATATGCATAGATATAATTTATGCTTCATTAAATACTGCAGAGGGTCAAGAGTGATTCCCATATTTCTCTGCCATCACCAATATTACTTCCAGAATAATCACTTGCTTTCAGTACTCATTAATAATAACTTGGTTTCCCAAAACTGTAGTTGGTTGGGAGTAGATTAAAGCAGTATTACCTTTGTGAAGACCTTTTCTCATCATCATTGTTTATTGTGTACACATAACTTAGTGAAATGCTATTTAAATATATTAGAAATATTTAAATATGTTTATTAAATTATAAATTTAATAAACATATCTAATAAATTATACATTAACTTATAAATATTTATAAATTATATGATAATTATAAATAAATTAATATTTAAAATAATGAGAAATAAGACATATTCCTCCATTAGGTAAATAAATGCCATTAACTTCTCTGTAACTGAGCCTCTCTTCATTATTTCCATATATATCATTTAGAAGAAAAATTATATTCATATTCAGTCATGAAATTT